TTACGAAGTTGAAGAGATAATGTTGGAGTTTTTTCTTCAATTAATGTATCAGTTTGTTTGAGATTATTTGTTGGCACACGATGATGAGGTGCATGAAGACGAGGAGCTGAATAACATGGACGAAGTGAACTTGTTGTTGGTGTTGTTGGTGATGATTGTTGTGCTAATGAATGTGGTGATGGTGATCGTGATGGACGAAATATATGTGGTGAAGGTGAACGTTGTCGACCTGTAGCTTGTGAATGTATACTTAATTGTGAATAAGGTGATATAGATGGTGATACATATAAGGGTCGTGCAAGTCCTGTTGTTGGTACACCACGTGGTACAGATGATTGTCTTGAATATCGATGATGATGTAAATGATGTCCATATGGTGCAAGACTAGCACGTGGTGTATATAATTCAATAAGTTCACCTGTTAATAATGAATTACGTTTAATTATATGTGATAATTGATGACTTCGTGAACTTTCACGTCGTCTTGAGCCAATTGTTAATGTATCATTTATTCCTCCATATTCACTTTCAAAATAAGTTGAACCGGTAAATATTTGTGAAAAATAAGATGATGCAAAATAGGATGATGTTGACATACGTTGATGTCGTCTTGAATTTGTTGATGATTTTCTTAAAAATAAATCATTTCCATTATTTATTTGTAATGTTAAATGACGAGAAAATTTTAAACGCCATGGAATAAAAAAACATGTATGACCAGATGGTCCAAGATAACAAAGAAGTGATTGAAGAAAAAATGTTGAATAAATAAGACTTATCAATGATGTTATTGTATAGATTATTGCAGATTTTGATAGATAAGGTAATGAAGAAAATAAACAAGGAGTACATATAACAAATATTGAAAGTGTTAAATGGAATAAAGTTGTGCATAATTGTTTAAGTGAATAGATTGTTCGATTTTCACGTTGAAAAAAAAATGTGGGTGCTAATTTATAACTAAAATAAAAAAAGAAGAATATCTTATAAAATCCTTTCATAGGCATAATGTCTTTACAACATATTATCCATGTGTTATAACCTCGATCATTATGTGTACATAGTAGAGAACTGCAATGCCCTCCGAAACCCGATTCCGATGGAGTCGGAGTCGGAGTCGGAGTCGGAGTCGGAATAAAAAAACCCGACTCTGCAGTTCTCTGGTGCATAGTCGTATCCTCTTCTCAAGCTTGGCGAGTAAAGTATTGTATCTACTCTATAAGTATGTGTAAAAATAAAGAATAAAATGCGGTAGTCGTAACGGATATCTATTCATTAGGGTCCAGCAGGACCGGGTTTTTTCATCCCGATCCCGACCGTCTCTCACTCGACAGAAACCCATCCCGATCCCGGCGTAATATTTTTTCGAGATTTTCGATGTCGTTACCATTTTCTGTGAATACAATTCACCCAGACTTAAAACCCATTAATGTATTTACTCGGGATTCCGTAGTCTCTATCCCGTCGGACCCTTCCATTCGTCTCTCTATGTCGAAAACTAATTACAATAGGATGCATTCTTTTTGAAAAACCTACCTAATCGAATAGAGTACTGAATATTGTGTACAAATAATAAGTCCAACTGTAAAATATGCCATATTTTCTACAGTTAATTTATAATTAAATAATGTAAATATTGCAATACAAGTAAGAAAATTACATAATGCTGTTAATGTAACAAATATCCCTAGGACACCTGTAAATAATACTAAAAAAATTAGTATAATTGCAAATTTAATTCCTGTTAAAACATATTTTTCTTGTTCTAATTGTTCCATAATTGTATAAGTTGAAAATAATTCACTTGACCACCAAAATGACATGAAAGAAAATATTTTTGTATAAAATTTTCCAATTGGATTTGTTTTTAAATTCTCATTCAATAATTTCCATTCAAGATAATTATTTATATCAGTTAATATATTCCATTTATAATTTATTGTTTGTAATAAATATCGAGGATTTTGTGAATCACTTATAAAACGTAAACCATTTTTAATTAAAAATAAATCATCCGATGGATTAGAATTATAATATAAAGAATTAAGACATAAAATACATTCATAGGAATTAGATGTTTGATTTAATGAACATATATGAGTACAATCTAACGATTGATTATAATGATTAGATATAATGGAAGAAAATTTTGTATTTGATGAGGATGATAATATTGTAGATGATGGAGATAAATCACCGAAACAATGAATATTATTGATTGTTAATGGAAAATTAGACATTTTTGCGAATCTAGAGATGAAATAGAAGTTAGAAAAAAAGGTATAATCTCTTAATTAATTTTCTTACTCATGAGATGTATCATTATTTGATAATTGACGAGTAATATGTCGATGATAATGTTTGTAAGGTAACGGTTTTTCGTTGGTTTTATATTCAAAATTTTGTTCCTGTTGAAATGATCGTAATTGTGAACAAAAACCCATTAATTGTGTTAGATTTTTTTCTAATGCATATTGAAATGTACGAGGTGTACCTGGTCCTAATAACATTTGATTTTCACTATTATAATAAAGTATAGGAATATCTCGAAACGGTATCATTGATTCACTTGGTACTTCCCAACGTGAACCGATATAATATGTTATATCAATATCTAATGTTTTTCTTGTTATTAAAGATTTTTCATTTGTGACATATAATGGTAATGTATCAAATGTTATTCGACACATATTAAATTGTAATTTTGGCCATTGAAATATAATAACAAATGCAAAACAAGCAATAAGAGTTAATAAAGTTAACCAAAAAGCTTTTAATCGTATAATAAGATAAGATATTGTACGATCAATACAACAATTTGTTGCTGCAGTTGTTAATATACGATATAAAAAATGTTCAATTGATGGAATAAATGATTTATATCGAAGAATAATAATAAATGTAACTAAAAAATAATTAGATAATCTAGTTTGTTAATTATAAGAACATACTTAAATAAGTTTAGAAAAAAATCTCATAGAAAGATTAAAAGATTGTTTCTATATTTAATTATATCTAAAGAACAGTATTTAAAGGATCTTAAATTAACAAGTAACACTCGTCTGAGGACTCATTTAGCTCTTTCTCGTAGAAATGCATCCTCTTCATATTTAATGGAAAAACAAGTAAAAATCTTGCTATCCTTTATTGTTCCCTACTCAGTGGTAAACTCAGATCAAAACATATTAGATTTGTCGGTACTAGTGGCTTGTTGAAGTAGCCTTTAACAAATAAGTGAAGTATTAGTAATCTTACACGCAAAAAAGACAACAGTTTGTGATCGCCACACTTTGTACTACAAGCAGGAGAACATTTCGGTACCCATAAACTCGGTTTCTATCAGTCCACGTCACTTCTCCCAATTCCCCGCTCCCTTCCTCTTAAGTAGTCTGAGCAAATGGAGCGCACATTTGAAGTCTCCGTATCAAAATACCTCAAGAAATGTCTTTTCTGAAAGATCGGTCTTCGATGTTTTTTTGACCATGCAGACACACAAACAGTCAAGCAAGAAATCAGACAGTTTATGTTTACTGGACTCTTCTCTGCGAGAAAGAGAATAATAGAAATATCGATATGATGAATCATCTATAAGAAAAAACAACAACGAGGATTATAGTTGGATTAATCTTTAGTATATTTTCAAAGAACTGACTGGTATTATCCTTCCGTAATCTTTATAATATTCATACATCGAATACTTTCGGTAACTATCATTAAATGTCTCTTATAACATCACATGATTTATTAATGAAACGATTAAAAATTTATCAAGTAATTTCTTATATCTATGAATAGATAAAAAAATCCTAATTGAAAAAACCGTATCACATTATTTGCTAATCATATTCATCTTAATCTAGAAAAATAATAGATTTTGTATCTAATACTATATTATCTTTTTACTAAGAAGAAAAGGATAAGTAGAAATGTTCTTACCAGGATAAAGAGTAAATGAAATAAAAAATGATATTGATAGAAGTAAAAAAGCAAATACTGTAAAACATTGTAATGCTATTATTTGATTTGTATATGTAATAACAAGTACACATATTGCCGTAAGATTTTTTGGTACTAAATAATAAAATGTTTGTGTTAATAAATTTTCAATAATACGATTTATTGTACAATCATCTCGTCTATGATTATTAACAAACCAACATGTATACCAAAGAAATGAATCAATTAATATTATAAATAAATATAATGTTATACTTGTATAATTAAGTATTGTTATTGGAAAATGAAATATATAAATATATATAATAAAACTTGATAGAATTGTTAAAAATATATGAATTAAAATAATAAATATAAAGAAAATATTTTTAACAAATAATATAAGACATAGAATATAAAGAATAATTGTTAAATATATAAATATACTATTTGATTGAAGAAGATATTTAAAAAGAATTTGTTCATCATTAAAATCAAAATTAACATGTGTTAATGAGAAATTATTTTTATATTGATAATAACGAAGATTATTATAAAAATAAATAAGTTGTTTGTTTTTATTTGTATTATTTTCGATATTAATATAGATTTTAAATGTTAAAGATGATTCAATATGTTTAAGATAATGATGAAGACGATGATTTGAACATTGAGATGTATTACATGTTGACCATTGTAAATAATATTCATTTAATTGATTTAATGTTAAATTTTCACATTGTTCTAAGGAATTTAAATAACCATCAAAGAGAAGAGAAACTAAATTAGAAACAAAAATAATGAATCCAATGTTTTTTTTTAATATAATTATTTATTTATAACAAAAAAAGATCACATGATTATCCTTACTCAGAAAATAAAAATAGATTTTTGCTATATGATATATGTGTTTCACTGAACTTTCTTAGTACAAATTTTATTTATTTATTTAACTCTATTCAGTAAAATAAACTGTTTTTAGTCAGAATATAATAAAAAAAATAAACCGAAAATTGATTTTTTATTCTTAACTATCAACATGATTAGTAGTACTTTACCTGGTCCTATCTGTTGGCAACATGTATCATCTATTGATGATGAACAATTTGTATATTTTGTACGTAAATTCCATTCAAGTTTACAAATTGTTTTAAAAGTATTTATATCATGAAACAGACTTGTAGAATTATTATTAATATGATATGTTAATTCAGTATAATGTACTAAAAATATAAAAATTTATTTTTGAATATTTATCATTTTTTCTACATACATATAGGACATGTAGGTAAATAAAATCTTTTCGAACAAGGATTGATATGTGGATTGAAAGACGAATAAGGTATTTGATGAAATGTCTAAAAACAGATATATGATTATACAGAAAATTATTTCTATTCACGAGATATTAATTAAAGTTATTTTATGAAACAAAAATGAATAAATAATTTCCGAAAGGTATATTTATTTATTTTTAGAGATAAATACTTTGCTTTTAAATGAATTTGGAAATAAATGTGTTGTTTGAGTTTCACGTATAAGTGCAATTAATTTTCGATATTCATCTGATGATTTTGTTCCATGAGCTTGAAAACCCTAAGAAGAAGAAGAAGAAGAAAAATATATTTAATTAGAAATTCGATTGTGTTTTTTTTGTTTCTTAAAAAAATATTTACTTGTAATAAAGGTCCAAAATGTATTTGATTACGTTTATATATTAATAAAATAATACAAATACTTGTCATAATAAATGTCGAACAAAATATCAACAAATGATATTTAATTAAAAATCGAGCGTATCTATGTAAATAATCGATTGTTATATATATATATATTTTTTTTGATTAAAAATGAAACTCATATTTTCAACGAGTCAATATAATTTTACTTACTTCACTTTGAAATGACTACAACAAACCATCAGATACTGTATATAATTCAACAATGTAATAGCTCGATTTATATATTCTAAAAATATAACCAACAAAAAAAAATGTTTGAATATATATCTCAATTATTTTCTAATTAGATAACACTCGACAAGACACAGTATAGATAAAAGAAGAATTTGCAAATTCTTTATTAAAGCACGCACATACTAAACATTGTTCTAAAAATGCTAATTCTAAGGATGCATTTACATCCAATTCAGTAGTTAATATGGAATCTATAGCTAGATATATATATATATATTTTTTTTTTGCTCTTTTGTCTCTATCATTCGTTCAATTGCTGGTTGCA